ATGTGTGCTGTATTGTCCTTTATGTGCTGATGAAGGCTAATCGCCGCAAAGTCCTTTGTTTGTTTATTGTGATCGATTTTGTAAAGCTAACATAAACTATATGTTGTTTCTCACTAACTTTTTCTCTTCCCTATAATTTTCTACTCCTTTAACAAACGTATCCTTTACAGGACGTTGCAGAAACAGCCCCATAATTTTTTTTTTCTGTTGTTGTTTTTCTAGGCAAGTTTACGTCCAGTAGTTTGCCAGTGCTTCCTGGACGGTCAGCTTCTGGATACCAACGTCGAAACCAATGTAAAGCACAATGCTAGCAGCTGGGATTAAACCCAGCACCCTGGCATTAAGAAGCGCTTTCGCAACGCCTAAGCCACAGACGCCGACAAAAGAAAAAGAACATTAACAGAGGTCGCAAACTTAAGTCATGTGATTTGGACTAAAGTGCGACTTTAGTTGCGTAATTAACAATTTGCGACTCGACTTGGGGTTTTGTCCAGCGCCTCGAGACTTGACTTGCAACTTTGACGACTAGACTTTTTAATCATAAGCACTGTCGCATACACAGCTTGTTATGTTATGTTATCACAATCGACGTCACTGCATTTTGGGCATTCCCATGCGTACTCAGTCCTCCGATGCAGAAGTCACTCCAAAGTACTTCTACTAATTGTTTTCATGAAAAGCTGGTTATATTGTCTTCTATCTCGGCCTCGAAGACGGCATAGACGTGCTTTACTATACTTAACTCCCATGTAACGCAATCGTGTTATCCACTAGCCCAGTCTGTACAGCGTTGACGACATCTACTCTGCCCATGCCTTTCCACATTCTTTAGTGTAATGCTTGCCAGTTTGTCCGCTCGCTCATTTCTATTTACGCCCACATGACCACGTGTGTAGATCCAGGTGAGGGAGGTTAAGTGCGATTTTTGAATGCTGACTTGATACATGAAGTGACTTGACTCGAAACTCAACTTGGAAGTATTCTTGGTGACTTGAAACTCGGCTGGGGCTTATAGGGTGATGATATAGTCCAGCCTCTAAATAATACCGCACCCCCCTTCTACCATTGAATAGAAAATGGGGGGAGGGTGGACTCAACTCCTGAAGGTGCCAGAGTTGTTGCTTGAATATTATTCTTTTCCTTTATTCAACGTAGGCTTAGCAGTATATTGTTTTTATTAATATGCGGAGTAACAACTAAATATAATACTACAAATGAAATAAATGACATATATAAACACTTATTTTCAGTTCCAGTGTGTTTAGCATCACAGGCCCAGGGGTAGTAAAGATAGATGCAAGATGCGCTAGAAACGTAGGATGCGTTTTTTTTTGGGGGGGGGGGAGGAGGGCGGGCAGAAAAGGGAGTTTAATTAGTTAAAAAGTCCTCTAGGTCGTTCTCCCTTCAATACTGGAAGGGGGAGGGTGGATGGTTTAAAGAAAACTCAGCCACCAGGTTACAGCACAGGACAAAACGGAATAGAGGACTAGAACGCGAGCACTACGTGACATATTAACCGTACGACTACATGATGATGATAGAATGCCAAAGTAAATCAAAAACTAGTTTGTGCTTTTACCGAAACAAAGCAACACTTATTTAATACTATTGTAAAAGTTGTATCTCCCGCCATAATTTTAGCGACACGATCAAGAGAACAATTAATTATTTCGCTGTCGTGAATAATTTTGTGTTGCAGGTGAAAATTGTCTATCTGCAAACGACTTTTGACCAGGTAATATGAAAATAAAAAAGGCTAAACACAGCTAGCTTCAAAAGAATCACACGTAAAGGTATACTGTAAAAGTAAACACCATATATAACGTTATAACGACGTAAATACTTATTCAAGTTATCTACTTCACTGAAGATTGTCAGTGCTCCACCGGTACTAAAACCACCAAGTCAGCAAACCACTGAACTTACATTTGATAATTTAAATAAAAATCATTTAACATTATGATATAATTACGTTTAATTTTTTTTGTTGACATAGTACATAGACATACATTCTCATTCATGATTCAGTTCATTAAAATTAAAAATATCCACCACATCGGCAGTCAGTGAGTTAGTTTTTCCAGATTTGCTGCTTGTTTGTGAAAAAAAAAAAAAAATGAATAATAATTACGTCAGAAATTAGTCAACAGAATGCAGTGTCGATAGAAACAGAGCAAATAAGAACAGGAAATTAAATTTAGTAATCTATTGTTCACTAATCTTTCCATGGTCTTTGTCTTTGAGGCAGTTTATGGGGCGGTAACGTAACTGAATTTACTTTCCTTGGGCCTTGGGCTTTCCTTTCTTGGCTATGGGGACTATTTCTGCCTCTTTCGGTTCATTTGCAAGCGGATCTTGGGTCCAGGATTCATTGAAGTCTACCAGCTGGTTTCAAGTGTTACTGTCATTTTATTTGTTAATCGATCAGGTCCAGGTGTCTTCCTTTTCTTTAGTTTTCTTAATGTGCATTCAAGTTATTGGGGACTGAAGAGTTCATTCATTATATCTTGGTTATTTTCTTGCTTTTTTTTTTGAAGGTTTCCTCTGTTCTCTTGTCACTTCTGCTTCTCTTGCAATAGACATGCAGATTTTCCTTTCCTCTGCAAAACTGTCGGTCAGCAGGTTTGCTGCTTGTTCACATTGCCAATCAAAGCCCCCCCCCCCTTCCCCCACCCCATATTCAGTGACAGTGTGGGCACTGGTGGTATCTATAGATGCCATCCTTTCTCCATTGAGACTCTTTACTAGATGCCATAGAGCTTTTACTAGATGCCATAGCTTTTTACCCTTTCTCCATGTTGAGAGCTGCAGTCTTTTCCTGCCATATTTCCCAATGCTTGTGTTTTCCTCTTTTATGAATAACCTGATGTGTGTTGTGTTCTGTTACATTGAGGTCAGAGGGATCTTATTTCATTTGTAGTCTTGCTTCTGTGATTTTTTGTGTGTGCAGCTGTTGCAGTTCTTGAGTCCAGTAGGGTTCATAGTTTTTCCTTTGACCTTGAGGGATTGATTTTTTGTGCTGTTTCGAGTATGATATTGGTAAGAGTTATGATGTTTTTTTCTGACCTCATTGGTTGGAAAGGGCTTCAATAGATTGTTTTCAGTTAAGTTTTTGTAGAGCTTCCAGTCTGCTTTCAAAACTTAATATTTCTCATTTCCAATGAAATATAGAAAAGTAATTTAAATAGAAATCTTTTCTCTGCAGTCAAATCCTCAGACTCAAGAACCTCATGTCTTACACTACAGTGCTATCTTAGCAGCATTATGTGCTGCAAAGGAAACTCAGCCACCAGGATACGGCGATAATGGCACAGGATAGAATGGAATGGAGAACTAGAATGTGAGCCCTACGGGAAGTATAACCATACAGCTAAATGATGATGATAGAGTCACAAAATAAATCAAAAACTAGTTTGTGCTTTTACCGAAACAAAGCAAAACCTATTTAATGCTAATGTAAAAGTTGTATCTGCTGCCATATTTTAGCGACACGATTAAAGAGAATAATTAATTAATTAGCTGTTGTGAGTAATTTTGTGTTGCAGGGGAAAATTGTCTATCTGCAAAAAACTTTTGATCAGGTAAAATAAAATGTTGAAAAACAAAAACTGTAAACACAGCTAGCTTCAATAGAAGCCCATGTAAAGGTTTTTGTTTTACAAAAAACAAAAAGCAAAAGTTTGCGGTGACCCCTATGACAACCACTCGCGGAAAAGAAACGTACATGATCAATAATATTAAACATATGTTATTTTACTGAGACTTTAACAAAACTGATGTTTTAACATAAACACTGATTAGGTGGCACGGTATGAAATGACTGGACTTGATATATGGCAAGTATTCGTGTACACATAATTTGAGATTGGCGAATCAGTCATGTGCACCTGTGGATTGGCACCTGAGGCAATAGATCATGGCCTCCAAGACTGTCCCAGATTGAACATATCAAAGCAAAACTTCAGACCAAGAGAAACACTGGTTGAAGCCAAACCTTAAGGGTCGCTGATTGAATTACAGATGACAGTGAATTTATACCAAAGACAGCATTGCAGATATAGATAATCAATTTTGTGTGAACAAAACAAGAAAAATAGGGCGTGACTTGACATACAAAGATTAGCATGGGGCCCCTATACTTGTGGGGCCCCCTGGCAACTGCCCAGCATGCCCATGGGTTGAGACAGCATTAGAACCCGTTGGCACACTTCCCATTCAGGACAAAATCCTAAAGACCAAATAAATCTCCTCACATGAAAGAAACTGACCATTATATTTAAACTGCCTACTGGACACAACAGACTCTGCAGCAATGTGTACAGAAAATTCAGGATTGAGGATTCAGAACTCTGCCCATGTGTGCAGGTGCTACAGAATACTGAACTTGTGCTACAGACATTCTCTCTACATGCAGCAGAGAGATCCCATGTTTGGCTGGTTGGCTTTTCTAGTGGAAATTAAGCTGTATGGAACAGTGGAAGACATCCATTGCATCACAGACTTCATTGAGGCCTGTGGCCTTCTGATCTGAAAATATCAAGGAAAGATGTAAAACTGAACAAAAGGTATATCAGCAAGCTTCACCATATAACAAACAAAACGTGAACGTTGCAGCTATGGAGCTTTCTTCAGCACATACATAGAATAGATAATACTACACAAATACACAATATCACTTATCTTCCTGTCTCATGGCAACCAGGTTGATGTTAAGACAATAATCTGGCGAGGCACGTGGGGCCTGGAAAATAGATATCTGGAAATATGCCAGGGGCCGTTTTTCGAGATAAGATGAAACTGTGTGGGCAGAGCCCTAGGATTTAGATGAAGCTGTGTTGGCAGTTAAATATGAAAATCACTGGCAGGAGGACAAAAAAGAAGATACTATTCAGTTTTACATTGAAACAAAGTTTATCTTTCATTTTATCAGGTTTTAGCCAGCAGTTTTTTTGTCTTATTTCAGATTCCAGTCCACCCAAGTACATTTTTCTTCAATAACAATGCCACCAAAAGGGGTAAGAAAAAGATAAAATTATTCCAATGAAATCTTGTTCTTTTATGCATTCACGGGCTGTAAATTCCAGCGGAAAGTTCTGGGTGTTTATCTACCTCTGGTTATTAGTCATCTTCCAGAACATGGGTGTCAGTGTGCACATCCATTTTACAGATCTGACTTATTTTGTATTCAGACTGTTGGTTCCTTGGCTCGTAGGTAGATGCACTCCAACTTCAAAGAAACAACTTTTATGACATGCCTGTTGGGGAGGCAGTGAGTCTAGTCTTGTTTCCCCCAAAATGGGGTCCTTTAACCCAGAGGGGGACAATTACAATTATTTTCATTGATTAAAAAAAAAAAATTAAAGCTTCTCTGGCGCAGTGGCTAGGCGCTTTTGAAGATTATGGGTTTGAATCCATGCCAGGCACATTAAAAATAAAAAGTTGGTAACGCTTTGCCATGAGACTTCTTGCTACCCACCTTCAGAAACAGCATCTCAGATTTGGACCAGTCTTAAACTTTTAGAATTCAGCAATTATTTGTCAGCAAATGGAGAAAATAATTCTACAATCATGGCTTCAGGTAGTTCACATTTTGTTTTATGGATTGTGGCTCATAAGGTAAAGTGATGTCTACTTATGGTTGCTAGTGTATGTCAAAACAAGTAAGCTCATAATTTCTGAAATGAGAAATAAAGAAAAATAAAATTTAAAACGCTCATATTTTGTTATTGTCACCTTTATTTTCACTGTGTAGCATTTTTTCTTATTTTTAACATTAGTCACTGTTTTTTTTTTTTTAATATGATGAAATTACCACATTCACATATGGTAATTGTTGAAATTGTGTGTGTGTGTGTGTAAATGTTTTCCCACCCAGGATTTCAGATTAGGATTAACATCTTAAGGATGAGAATCAAACAGCTACAAATCCTGGAAACCCCTTTTGAACTGTACATATAATACAGATATATTAGGGCACCACACAGGAGCTCCTATCTTGTCTAGTGTGGTTTAGTTTTTGTGGTGGATATTGTTAATTGTTGTAAATTTTCCTTGCATTAACTCATGCCCACGGTATCATTTTTATACTGCGTCCATCATTGGGCTGGTTGTCCCCTGTCTTTCTAATTAGTCACATCACACAAAAGAAATATATCCCCCCCCCCCCTCTTTTTTCCCCCTCCCTCTGCATTTTTAGGCTGTTTAAACATTTCTTCTTCTTCAGCATTTTGAACCCTTGAGGTTAATTGCTGCAGATATCACTCACCTGCCTCCATTCACCTAAATGGTTGGCCTTCGCTTTCTATTTGGTGATACCAGTTGTTTGTAGTCTGTCTGGATATTATCTCTCCATCGTCCTCTTTGTCTGCCTCGTGTTCTATGACCATTCAGCTCCTTTGCACATTGTTTTTACCTCTCTGTCACCTGACATTCTCTTAATATTCTCCAGCCCTTTCAGTCTGTTGGCCCTCACAATGACAGTGATCAATGGTGATTTAAACCATTTGTGAATTTCATTCTTGTTTCTCACTCTCCGTTCTCCACTATTTGCATCTTTGATGGGTCCAAAGATTTACCAAAGACTCTGTTTTCAAAAATTAAAATAAGGCTTCACCTCTTTTAGTTGTGCTCCAAATTTCAAAGCCAAATTTAACAACTGGTCTTATCAACGTTTTTATATTTTGATCTTGGTTTTGTTTGAACATTTGGCAATTCTAATTTTGTATAGTTCTTTCCCCACTAAAACTTCTGTTACCAAATTGTATGGTGCTAGCGAGTTGATAAATTTAAATCAATGTATGTGTAAAATTAAAATTAGCTCTATAGAATGTTCATAACTGATTGTTATGTTAACTATCTTTTCCCCATATAGTCTAAAAGTAAAAAACCTGCAGATGAAGGTACAGTTAAAGTTGACAAGAAAAAGGAGGTAAGTTTATTTATGAATAACTGTTGCTGTGCTATTTCTGATGAATTTATTTTGGCTAAAGATCTTTTTAATCTGTTTAAATTACCACTAATTACTGGCATCATGAGGGCTAATAGACTACAGTGGTTTGGGCTTTTAGAGAAAATGGCATGACTTTTATACTTAAACCAGATTCCATGAATGTGTGTCCAATTGTTTACTTTTTTTGTTAGTAGCTTTTTGTAACATGTTATTTTATGTAATGATTTTCAAAATTCATAAATTCAGGATCCTCAGCCTTCTGCTGCAGAGACTGCGGAAGCACCCAAGGAGGAGAAAAAGGTTAGTATTGTATGTAATATATACACAATTACACAGGGTTATTAAAAATTATGGATACACTTTCATTCATGTAAATTTAATTGAATTACATTAGATATAAATAATATACACACAAGAGAGAGGGGGAAGGTGTAAAGTTTCCAGTAAGATGGGCACTGAGCAGCACAAGGTTTTCTACATTTGGCAAAACTATTCAACATCTATAGCCCCTATTGTAAGTGTGCTAGCTTTGGACTTTCCTCTCTTTCTTGTATATATATATTATTAATATGTAATGTATATTCAAGGAGATATACAGGAATAAAAGCGTATCCATCATTTTGAATAGCCCTGTATATCACAGCATTTAGCTGTAAACCACAATACGACATACCAGAAGAAGAAATAGCTTGCATAAAAGCAGTACAATTCAGGAATGCTAATTAAATTCCAGTGAATCAGGGGTGTCTAGTTGACCATGTCCTTAGTGCACTTGTATTCATGGCGAGGCGCAGACGCCGTCTGGAGGTGACAGGCTCAATTCCCGGACAGTAACTATAGCTTTCGATTTATATGTTGTCTAGTGTGTTCCTCTATCCTTCTACTTCTTTCTATGAGTGCCGATCAATACACTTTCTGTTACTTGATTAATTTATAAATAGTTGAAGATGTATTAAGAGAACTTTTATACACAGTGGGGTGAGGTATGCTTAAGCACTTTACAGTTTTCTTCTAGTGATTTTCCCTGGTCTCTGGGTAGTAAGATCGGATGCCTTTGTATTGTTGCGCACATAAAAAATCCCTTGACAGTTGGAAATGGAAAAATAGCAGCCTAACCGCGCTGCCCGGGCACACACAGAAAAAAGTTTTAAAAATCAACCCAAAGTATTTCAGGATCCTTGCCAGTGCTGTGGAGTTCGTGCGCTGCGCTGAGATTCTGACTCAGACTAGAGCTAAAAGTCGAACTGAGCACTAATGAGTTACTACCCCTGTGCCATGATGTTTATCCCTTGTTTAAACCTAAACAGTTTTTCTAAAGGGACTGAAAGGGTGGTAGCCGCCCCCCTGAGGTGGCTGGCATATTGACCACAATATCAGTTGAGTTCTTCTTGGTCTGTAGAAATAAAGGGCTATCAGCATTTACCAGTTTAACACTTTGAGGTGTGGGAAAACATTCATTGAAGAAGACTTTCCTTAAAACTGACTTTGGCTCCTAGCCTGGGTCAATGTAGATCATGATACAAAGTGTTAATTATAAATCTACAGTCTACACTGATGGTGACGAGCTGGAGAAAGTTGACAATTTTTCTTATTTGGGATCTACACTGAATAACAGACTATCACTAGACCAAGGAATCAACCTCACAATAGCTAAGGCAGAAACAACAATTAGCAGATTACCAAGAGTTTGGAAGAAACAGAAAGCTCACGATTAAAACAAAAACTTTGTTTATAAGGCCTGTTTTCTCAGCACACTGCAGCAGTAAAACTTGGTCAGCTTATTCACATCAGGAGAAACAGCAAAATAGCTTTCACATGCTTTGTCTATAAAGAATACTTGGAATTAAGTGACAAGGCAAAATCACAAACACTGAAAGTATTGAGAAGAGCAATTATTACAATATTTTTCCCAATGCTCAGTCTCTGAGAACTCAGGTGACTGGGCCACACTTGGAGAATGGGGGATGGTAAAGTTCGTAAGAACATCCTCTATAGTGAATTACAGGTGGGTAGAAGATGTCAAGGCTAGCCTCTTCTATGATAAAAAATATGTCTGTAAGCGAGATATGAATGATACAGGTACTGAGGTAGATTCAGGGAACTTTTTGCCATGGGCCATGTTGCATGAAAGGGGGAAAATCAGAATGGGGATTAGAATAAAAGGAAGTGAAATGTTTGCAGAAAGGTTGAGAGCATCTGAGAAGAAGCGCACTAAATAGATGGGAAGGCAACAGTGGTACTGAAACCCTATGCTCTAATTATGGAGGACCTTTCTTAACACAGGCGAGTCTTGCTGGAAAGAAAGAAAGGTGCCAACAATATCCGAGTTCTTATTGATCTATAGAAATATAGGGCTAACAACATATAGCAGTAGACTTTGAGTACATTTTGAGGTGTGGGGGGGGAAACGTCCATTAACTCTTTGAGTCCCAAGGAACGCATCATACGTTCATAGGTTCCTATCTAGAAGTCCAATGAACGCATGATGTGCCGATTTTATTACTTTCTTTACTACCCCCTGGGCCTGTGATGCTAAACCCTGTGGGACTCAAAGAGTTAAGGCAGATTTTCTTAAAAATTAACCTTGGCTCCCAGCTTGACCCAGCCTGATATGGGTACCAATTAGTTTCCTGGGAAGTAAAGGTGACTGACTTGATTTTGACCACATTATCCATCACCTTCCAGTTGCTCAATTAAAGTATAGGTCTAGCACTGTATGTGCGAAAAGCTTGGAAACGGTCCTTTACTTTCTTCACCTACAAAATTAACACAAGAAGATGATGACTCTTTACAAGCTTAGTTTATTAATTAATCATCAACTGATTAGTTTTATGTCTATATTTGACACAGCCAGCATCTTCCAGAGGTGGTTGGGGTCGGAAAAAGAAACTAGCAACTGATTCTGCCAACGGAGAAGAGACAGGTGAACCAAAAGCAAAGATCAAGGTTAAGAGCTCCATTTCAGAAAGTTTTGCCGACATTGATTTTTCTGCCAGGGCTAAAACACCAGATGGCAGGGAATCAAATTTCAAGATCGCTTCATGGAATGTGAATGGTCTTAGGGCTTGGCTAGAAGTATGTATTCTTTTTTATTTTAATTTTATTTCCTCTTTTTTTTATTTTCCTCACCATTTTCTGCTCTTTCACTGCTGATAACACATAGGCCCTGAATCAGCTCACATCAAGCCTTTCATCATCGACTCAGTCTTCTTCTGCTTTTGTTCTTAAAAGGGACCCCTTTGTTGAGGGGAAAAAGCCCCCACCCCCACAAACCAGCATGTAATAACAGTCTACTAATTAGGGGGTGCTTCCTTCAAAGTTGAAGTGCATCTGCCTGAGAGGCAAGAAACCCGCAGTCTGCAAACAAATAGGTCAGATCTGTAAAATGAATGTGCACGCAGAACTCAAGTTGCTAACTAGAACTTTCCGCCAGAGTTTATAGCTAGTAAACGTGAAGAAGAAGATTATAAGCTTACAGCAGTAGTTGTCTGGCCTTCATTCTCACAAGATTTCCTGACCAGATTATTTGTTATTTCTTGGGTCTAATTCTGTCTCTTCTAGTCTTCTTCTGTGTGGTTTATGGTTTATATGTTATATTGTGGTTTACAGCTAGGCTGTGATATATACACTTTTCAGTCCATCACATTCTATTTCAGTAAATCAGTGTTTCACCTTGTAGAACAGCTGTTCTCAACCTGCCGGTCGCAACCCTTTTTTGGGTTCGGATGACCCTTTCACCTAAAACCATCAGAAAACACATATTCATTGAAGTTTTGAAGGAAAATAATTGTTTGAGGGTCGCCACAACATGATGGAACTGTACTAAAGGGTTGCGGCATTAGAAAGGTGGAGAGCCACTGTTAAGGGAATCTATTCTACTATCCCCTCAAAAAGGGCCCTCGACCCACACTGGGAGTCTCTTCTAAAGATTCTGGCAGTTTGTCTTCCTAATTTCCTGCTAGATATAATGTATCATGTCATTAGAATATCTCTTTCGTGATTCTGGCAGTTTGGCTTTCTAATTTTGTGCCAGTTGCATTGTGTAGTTTTATAGCTATATCGCTTTTAGTGATTGTGGCAGTTTTTCTTCCTAATTCCATGCCTGATGTAATGTATCATGTTATAAAGATATTTCTTCTAGTGATTCTGACAGTTTTGCTTTCTAATTTTGTGCCAGATGTGATGTAACATGTTATAATGATGTCTACAGAAAGAGTAAGAAATATGACCACACATTTAAAATAACTGCAATCTGTAACTTCACTTTGTAGATGGAAATGGTGGCTGTGTTATACAACTTGAAATTATGTTTGTTCATTTTTGGTAAGAGTCAGGTGCTGGAGCTTATAACATAAGTCAAGGCGGCACTGAATATGCAGCAGCAAGTTGTTAACTTCCTGGAACCATAATGCTGTCATGGGAAGTTTAACTTTCCAGAGCCATAATGCTGTCATGGGAAGTTTAACTTTCCAGAGCCATAATGCTGTCATGTGATTAAACCTGTGCAGTTAGCATGCAAAATGCCAGATAACAGAGAGACAAAAACTCCTACACAAGAGAGTTGATTGGGAGTTGACCATAAGGGAGATCAAGAAGATTGTGGAAAAATACTTGGGGTCACCAACTAGAAAGAGAAGGTCAGTCATAGAGATAAATAGAGGCTCACGGTATCTGCAACTCAGGATCTCAGAATGCTGAAAAAGAAGAAGAAAAATTAAACATGTTCGAATTGTTGACTAAAATTATAGAATTTTCTCTGTCTCTCTTCCGTGTTCACAGAAAGATGGTGTGTCTTACATCAAAGCCGAAAATCCGGATGTCATGTGTATCCAAGAAACCAAGTGCAATGTTTCTCTTATTCCAGCCGAAGCAGAGGTTGATGGTTACACCAGCCACTGGCTCTCAGGGGATGCTGAGGGCTACTCAGGAGTTGGGATTTACTACAAAACTAAACCTATTAAAATTACAGACGGCATTGGTGAGTAACCAATTGTACTTTGTTTCACACATCTGTGTGTAAAAGAAACAAGAGAGATCCCCTTGTGAATTTTGGGGCCTTATTGTGGGGAGGAGAAAAAGACTGTGATTAGAACCCTGCAACCCAGGAAGGCTAACCCAGTCAACAGATACCTTGCAGAAGACGGATATGTTGGCCAAAAGGCGGAAATATTGCAGCCATACTGTAAACGGTTACAATGCAGTTACATCTTCTGATGAACGCAGAAGAAGAAGAACACTACACTTCCCCCAACATCATCTATTTATTTCCTTGTGGGCTGCTGCGTGATTTGAATGCCTCTGAGAAGTTCATGCTAAGTGGCAACTGAGAGCAAATCCAGATAGCCCATTGAGGCTCTAAAGAAATTATAATTGGGGCGCTTGTAATGCCTGATGAAGCCTTTAGTCCTTCTTTGCAAGATTGGAATGGTTGTGGGGTTTTTCTTTTACTTGTGTGGATTTCCATTTCCATTACATTTTTGTTACCTGCAGGCTTGATGACCCTAAAATTACAAAAATCTTAGTCTGGGTAACAAGCCAACAGGGCTACTCATAGATATCTTGTTCAACCTCCAAAGGCATAATTGGAGCACCTGTATTGGCCACATCAACCTGGCGCAGCATGTAGTCCTCCTGTGTAGGTAAGATTTTATTCAGTCATGGATTAACACCTTGTGGATGAGAAGCAAACAGGAGCAAATCCCAGAAACCACATTCAACTATACAACAGAGTTATTTTAGGATGCCCCTACAGTCCAGTGTGGGTGGTGGGGAAAATCTTCGACTTAGTGATAAAACAAGTCTATAGCTGAGCATGATATCACATCCTCCTCCTGTGGATGCTAAAACAAGGGGATACTGTATCTCCCCCATTCTCTATTACTGGGCATGATAAGACATCCTCCTACTGTTGATGCTAAAACAAGGAGATACTGTATCTCCCCCAGTCTATATAACTTGGCATGATATGACATCCTCCTCCTGTGGATGCTAAAACAAGGGGATACTGTATCTCCCCCATTCTATATTACTGTGGGGGATACTGTATCTCCCCCAGTCTGTATAACTGGGCATGGTGTAACATCCTCCTTCTGTGGATGCTAAAACAAGGGGATACTGTATCTCCCCCAGTCTATATAACTGGGCATGGTATAACATCCTCTTACTAAGGGTGCTAAAACAAAGGGATACTTATACTTATCTCCCCAAGAATAAGTTTATAGTCACAAATCTGTAATAGAGAGTTGACTTGTTTTAAAAAAAAGAAACAAAAAACCCATTTAATGTTGATCTCTGCACTGTATAACTGGACAAGATAATCCTCCTGCTCCTTCTTCTTCTTATAATACATCACATGTGGAGTTGGTAGTCATGACTATCCACAACCTTCTGTTCTGTATTTTCAGTCAATTGTAGCATAAATGATCTTCGATGCCATGATGTCAGACTGTACAGTATCTTCTCTCTCCTCTCCGACTACCTCTTTTCCCATTCCAACTTTTCTACTTTTGTGATGTCCAGTTTCCTTCTCCTCATGACATGACCAAAGAATGCAGATTGTCTCCTGATGAGGAGAGTCAGTTCTCTTCATGAGTCAGTTTCATTCAAGAAATCTTAATTACTTGTGAATCTGTTCAGCATCTCCACCACTTCCAAATAATTTGTTTCACTAATTGTCCATGATTTACTTTCATATTTCAGGATAAGATTTATGTAGATCTTGGGAATGTTTGTGTGTGTGTGTGTGTGTGTGTGTGTGTGTCTCAGTTGATAAATACAGATTACACATCCCTCCAATAACTCTCATTAATTATTAGTTTAGAAACGAAGTTAAGTCTAATGACACATACTGGGTTGAAAACACCTGGTGAAACGGGTCTTGGATCATTTAAATGATCTTCTGGAAATATATTTGGGAAGTAAAAGTGGTGAGGTCTGGAACTGATAAGACTATCTCATTATGCCTTGGCCTGAACATGTAAAAACTTAAACCTGCATGTTTGAAAAACAATTGTTCATGTGGTTATCGCACTGTAGAACGAAAGTGATGGATGAGTATGAGATTGGGGCCTCACTGTATAATATTCCCAGACATAGTGGTACACTAGCCAACCTTCATTGTGGAGATTATTTTATTACGGACAGATCAGAACAAGTCATCATCCTCCGCCTCAATACATGGCACAACCGGTTACATTACCACATGTACACAAAATTCAAGATAGCCATATCAGCCATGTAAACCTGTGGATAGGTGCCTCAGACAGCAGAGCATATACTCCAGGACTACACCGAATTTGACACATTAAGGCAAACCTTTTGGCCAGAAAGAACAACAGTGGAACGTAAACTCTATGGACCACTGAATGAATTCATGACGACAGTGAAATTTATACAAGAGACAAAATTGTTGGTATAAACAACTTATTTCGACCGAACGAAAGAAGAAGAATTGTGGAGGTGGCTCAGCATTTACTTATTTTTGTTATTTATACCTCAGGAGCAGTATATGTTGTGGGGCTACCTTTAGTGATGTTAATACGTTTGTTCCCTTTAATGTTAGGTTTAATTTTAACAGGGAAAATGTTCAATGGTGTTGCATTTGCTGTGGTTAACTAAAAGTTGATAATATTGAAATATGCTTTCCATGTGGGTTCTGAGGCTCCATTTAAGGCTGATACGGAAAGAAAAGTCCTACTATCCTTTTACAAGCGTTTCATAAAAGGTGATTAAAATTAAAAGGTTTGCTAAAATTTTATGTTTTATGCTGACATGCTCTGATATGGTGGCCTAGCAGTAACACAACACAACATACCAACGGCTCCTTTGAGGGTGAGCGATACTGGTTTATTGGTTTATTCAATGGATCAACACCATGGCACTAGGGTAGTAACCCACAAGTTCTTCATACTGCTTCTAAATCAAGCCTGAGCCTGAAGAAACTCAGCACAGTGCACGAACTCCGTCGCACAAGCGAGGATCCTAAAATACTTTGGATAGATTTTTAACTCCAAATTTTGCCTGGGCATAGCCGTTAGGCTACTCTTTTTCGATTTCTAATAATACACACGGGCATCTGATCTTACTAGCCAGAGACCAGGGGAAATTACTAGAAGTCCATGGGAAAAAATCCCAGCCTTCACCGGGGCTTGAATCCGGGGCCTCCAGCACTCGAGGCAGATGCCATACCTCAAGACCACTCAGCCCCCTGGGTAAATGATGAAGAAGAAGAAATATGCTAAACTTTTTTTTTTTCAATTTTGCAGGCATTGAAAAACATGATAATGAAGGACGAGTGATCACAGCAGAGTATGAGAAGTTCTATCTTGTCAATGTCTGTAAGTTGTATGATTTTACTAAGAACTTAGAATGCAAAATGTGTGTATTTTTTATTTAACCTTGCTGATCTTTTGTTTAAGAAGTTTTGTCATTTGTTTACAACAGTTTATGTCATGAAAGGATAACCCAGTCATCAAATGCCTGCAGAAGTAGGATATGTCGCCTGATAGGTGCAAATATCACAACCATGTTGTAAACGGGCACAGCACATTTACATCTACAAGTTAAATATGTCTACTAAAACAAACCTAAATTTATTTTTGTCTTTACTCATTTCTGTTTCTGTTTGGCGTTGCCAGTTTTTTTCATTCTGTTTCACTGACCGTTGATACATTGTTGTCAAAACATTTTTTTTTTCACCTTTTAGCCAGATCCCAGTCACCAATTTTGTTTCCATCATGCTGATTGGTTTGGGCTTCATATTTCTCTATAGCTCCCGTGTTCATATATTCAGTGTTTCTTCTCTTTTTTTTATTTTTCTTCTTTTCCTTCTGCTGCTTTCCCTCTTAAAAGTGTGGTTTGCACATTATGTTGTGGTTTACAACTACGCTGGTAAATGTGTGCTGTTTGGTCCATGACATCCAGTTTCAGCAAACCTGTAATTAGTCGCCTTTTACGACATGCTTTTTGAGGGTTAGGGGGTCTATTTTTACCCAAAATGGGGCCTCGGAAACCAGATTCATTGTTCCAAAATGGGGCCTCGGAAACCAAATTCATTGTTCCAAAATAGGGCTTCGGAAACCAAATTCATTGTTAAAAAATGGGGCATCAGAATCCAAATTCAGTGTTTGTTATCATTTTATATTTTAAACATTCATGGTTGTTGTCCTTGTCCCTTATGTATATAGTTTTCATTAATTTTTAAATGTAAATTCTTTGTACAGAAAAAAAAGGACCCTTTTCAGGTCTTCACATGTTAACTCCATATTTGTAAGAGATCCATAAAAATTGAATTTGATTGTGGCCAGCATCTTCTTACCAGTTTTAGTGACAATATGTCAGTTTTTAAAAAAAAAATTGTCCTTGATATACTAGTAATTTATACAGTGATTTCCTGTTGAAACATTTTTTATTACAGTTGAGTTATTCAGAGATTTTTCTACTTAAATGTTACATTATTTTAGTATTGCATTGATTATATATGATTTGTAACATATTGTAGAAGTGTAGATTCTTTAGTTTAATATATTTTAAGTTTGTCTTGATGTGGATTCGAACCCGTGACTGCAAGACTGGCTGGCAAGCATGCTAACAACCGCAGAGAATGGCTGCTTTACTCTTTTATTTCCTCCTATCTTTATTTATAGATGTTCCTAATTCTGGACGTGACTTACCACGGCTGGATTATCGAACCAAAGAATGGGATGTTGATTTCAGAAAGTATCTCAAGTCATTGGATGAAAAGAAGCCCGTTGTCCTGTGTGGTGATCTTAATGTTGCTCATCATGAAATTGGTAGGGCTCTTCATTCAATAATGTTTTTGTTTTGTAGTGTGGATCTTTTTTTTAAATTAAACTCATGTACTTTCAAAACTACCCCAGCCTCCACCAGAAGAGCATACAAGGAGAAGTTTCATTCATGGTACAAATTACAGCACTAGATTCAGGTGTATATACTAGACCTCTTGTTTTATAGAATAATGTTTAAAATTTCTCGGATGATCAAAATTGAGTAATGTAAAGAGGCTAAGACACAAAGACAGCTCATCACAATAACCAGAAAAAAAATGGCTATCATAAAATTTTAGCCACATTATGCAAAGATCAGAACTAGAGCATGCACAACAGGAAGTTTATGGAATGAGACAAAGACAGCGAGAGAATGTTCGTGACAGCATTCTAGCATGGGTAGCACAAGTTGATGCATGCTACAGATCACTAGCTTGGAGAAACATGATCACCTATGCGAGTTGGCAAGGCTCTTTATGATATCAGATCTATATATGTTATAAATGTTCCATGTATCATGGGTTTTCTAGTGAGACATTCAGACTAGGCAATGGCTGATGAAATGCACTGAAATGAATTAAGATTTAACAAACGTGGGGCCATTATCCCACAGTCCTAAACATCAAGGAAGATTGGTTAAAAAACAGCATCCTGTCTCGGAAGCTGAAATATTTTGATCATATCAAGTGCCACGAAGGATTGGAGGACTAGGGTGTCGTGTTTTCTCTGTTCTCTGCATTTGACCTGTTCAGCTTGAGATGCCCTACTGGTCGCTACACTACGGCCTGTGCCTTGCAAGACTCAAGTTCTGGATCAAGACCAGTGTCCAGAAGTGGGTGAACAACTGGAACTTTCTGCCAGAGTTTGCAGCTGGTGAACACTGAGAAGAAGTAGAAGAAACTTCCCAGTAAAACACAACTATGGATGGCAAAAAAAAAAGATGTTGTGGCTAGAAAACCTTCATCAGCATACACCACATATGGACTTTGATAAAGTAGTAAGTAGAGACCCTTTTTACACCAGTGGCGCATTAGGCATGTGATGCTAGATTCATATTTTTTATAGACCAGTCCTGACTCAAAAGGTGATATGTTCAACTCAAACCAGCCACCTTTGCTTCTCAGGACATTGTCTGGTACCCATGATCGGCAGGATTGACCTGGGAGCCAAGGTAAAACAAAAAAATTCCCTCTTGATAGGGATGGACAGGAATACAACTACATAGCAGAATTGACACCTGAAATACAGCAGGTAAGGGAGACAGTGAACCGTTTACGTGCATACAGCAAACAAAATGAGGAGGTGAATTTTTCTTCCTATATCATATTCTTCTTTTTCTTTACTTCCTCTTTTACCACTTCAGGTGTCGAGGGAGATAAAACGTTCTGCTTTATGCTCTTCTGGCTGCTTCGACCATAGACACATCCTGGTGCTGGAGAGTTTCTCTGATGCTATCTTTCCATTTGTTCTTGATCTACCTCTTGCTCTACGTTCCTCTGCTCTTTTGGTATATGCCTTGTATGGTATATCATATTGCAAGACAGAAAATGCAAGATGGTTATTTTTTTTTTTTGGACGCTTTACAATCACACAGTCCGAGGGCAAAAGCTTTGTGAGTAATTAGCATTTAGTATTTGTAAATGTTTGTTTTTGGTTATTTATAAATGCACATATTTTCAGAGAACATTTTTTAAATTTGGTTTCTTCTGCTTTCCTTTCTCTGTGCTAGTGGTTTTCACATGAGAAGGCCACAGGTCTCTATGGTGCAATGCGTATCTTCCACTCTTCCATACAGCTCAGTTTCCATTTAAATGCCAACTGGCCAAACCTGGCATCTCTCTACTGCATGTAGCGATCGCGTCTGCAGCACATGTTCAGTATTTTGTGGTGCCTGTCCACAGGGGCAAAGTTCTGAATCCTCACTCTTGAATTTCTTGTGCAAATGGCTGCATACTCTGTTGTGGCTAGTAGCTAACTGACATATACTGGTCTGTTTTTTGTGTGTGGCTGATGAGATCTTCAGGATTGTGTCATGGACGGGAAGTGTTAAATGGCTGCCTTGTTCTGAGTTTTATTCTCCTCATAAGTGCATCATGTATCCGTCTGTTCTGTATGACTTCCACATTTTGCTTATTGATTTGCTCTTTCATTTCCCTTTTTTGGTTTTTGATTTTATAAAATTGTGTTGTGTAAATTTCCCTTCTTATTTCCAGACCTAAGGAATCCCAAAGGCAATAAAAGGACAGCAGGATTCACAATTGAGGAAAGGGAATCATTCACCGCCACACTCAGAGAAGGCTTCATCGATTCCTTCCGCTACCTGTATCCACACACAGAGAACGCCTTTACTTTCTGGACATTCATGATGAATGCAAGATCAAAGAACGCAGGCTGGTTAGTAGTACCGACCTCTTTTGCTCCTGTGTTATAGCATGTTTTCTTCATCCTTGGGTACTAGAGTTCATTTCCTGCAGTGGAAGGTTTAAATAGAAAAAAATTATTCTCATGGTTTTGAGACAATAGTAACAGAGTCACACTGTGGAAGAGACTGGGGCCTAAAACCTTAATATTTCCAAAGACAACATTAGTATACTGTTGCCAACTTGAATTGTGGAGATGACAGACTTTTAGTTCAGTTGATTACATGTCAAGTATCATACTCAAGTCAGGTTTTGTTAGATATCACATTTTGTCAGAAATAACATTTTGTCTGATATAACATTTTGTCAGATATAACATTTTGTCTGAAATAACAGTAATTAGTGCTAGATATTTTCTGTTAACCTCAGATGTTGAACGGTGCATACTTAACCTGACATCCCACATTGAGCCAACGGCTTCGGGCAAAGGAGGGGATTAGGGAAGTATACTAGCCTTATCCTAGGAAGAGGAAATGCAACCTGAAAACTTTATGTTATGGCAGGGCAGACCAGGCCCTAAGCCTTGGCTGGCAGCTGGTCTAAGAGGGAAGTTATGACAAGTTGCCAGAGCACTGCTCTTCTGATCATGTAACTTCTGTGGCATGCTTTGTTCCAAACATACTGGTGTTACCTTTCCTGTGGAGTAAACAAGGCAGACCAAGAAAGGCATTATGATGCATGGGCAACTGATGATCTCTACAGTACTCTCTAGGCTTTATGCTAAGAAGAGAAGGAATTTCTTCCTTGGCCTTAGTTGACATTCACCACCACCATAGACTGATTGCTATGCCTTCTTAAAGCACAATATAACATAATCACCTCGGAAAGAGGGAAAGGTTAAAACAAAAACAAAAATTTACAGTTTCCTCTTGCTATAGTTCATGACATGCCTCAGTCGTCATGTCCTTCTACGGCCTTGTGTCTCTTGTGCTGTCATTCATTTCTGACCAGGTGATCCTGCATGCCATGATACCAAACAATCCAACCTCCCTCTTGGACTACCACTGCCATTCTTCCCCTTCACCCAAGTTTTCCTCCTCACATGATATAATAAGAGAACATTTATGTCTTACTGTTGTGTTCTTGCAGTCTGTCTTATTGTTGTGTTATCATATGTCTCTGTTACTGCATCTCTTTGCATGTCTCTCTTACTGCCATTTTATTGTGTGTGTCTCTTACTGATATTATGGTATGTCTATCTGATTGCTGTGTTATTGTATATCTCCCTTACTTTTATGTTACTCTTACAGTTGTGTTATAACATATTTCCTTTACTGCTTAATTAATGCCTATCTTCCCCGTGTGAGTCTGCAGCCCTGGGGGGGGGGGGGGGGGGGGGGGTATGAGACCCACTGCCTTCCTGAAAATCATGACATAAGAGTCAACTAATTAGAGGATGTCCTTTGAAGTCAGAATGCATCTGCCTGAGAGGCAAGAAACCAGCAGTCTGCATACAGATAAGCCAGATCTGTAAAATGGATGTGCATGCAAAACTCAAGTTCGGAAACACAGCATAAAGTTGAAGGGGGACAAGAACTTTCTGCAGGAGTTGGTAAAGGCAAAGAAAAAGAAGATAACCTGTCTTTCTTACTGCTGTATCATTACATGTCTCTCTTACTGCTGTATCATTACATGTCTCTCTTACTGCTGTATCATTACATGTCTCTCTTACTGCTGTATCATTACATGTCTCTCTTACTGCTGTATCATTATATGTCTCTCTTACATCGGTATCATTACATGTCTCTCTTACTGCTGTATCATTACATTCTCTCTTACTGCTGTATCATTACATGTATCTTACTGCTGTATCATTACATGTCTCTCTTACTGCTGTATCATTACATGCTTCTCTTACTGCTGTATCATTACATGTCTCTCTTACTGCTGTATCATTACATGTCTCTCTTACTGCTGTATCATTACATGTCTCTCTTACTGCTGTATCATTACATGTCTCTCTTACTGCTGTATCATTACATGTCTTTCTTACTGCTGTATCATTACATGTCTCTCTTACTGCTGTATCATTACATGTCTCTTACTGTTGTATCATTACATGTCTCTCTTACTGCTGTATTATTACATGCTTCTCTCACTGCTGTATCATTACATGTCTCTCTTACTGCTGTATCATTACATGTCTCTCTTACTGCTGTATCATTACATGTCTCTCTTACTGCTGTATCATTACATGTCTCTCTTACTGCTGTATCATTACATGTCTCTCTTACTGCTGTATCATCAGTCAGGGTTATACATCATCTTGTGTATTTTTATAGTATGTTTTTAGCATATTTAAATGCAATCTCATTGGCCCTGGAATTCAGAGTAGTCCTGCAAAATCTGGGAACAGAGCATGCACTTCAACTTCAGGTAGCACAATTGTGATTTGTAACATGGTATTTACTGTTTAGATCAAGTGGAAGAATTACCTCCCTCACCCCCATTTTGAAGAGGGAGAAAAGAATGCTTATCTCCCACATGATCTTGAGTAGTGGACCAGTTGTCTGCCAGTAGGTCCCCATCAGCTCAGCCTGTATATAGTAAATTAGCTCAAAGATAAGCTCACCATCTCAGAATGAAACTAAATATTTAGAGCATCAAATTTTCAGTTTTCAACTCTAGTTTTGATGCTTTCGTTTAAGAAATTACAGATGATTTGTGATGTTAATATAACAATGTCTCTTTCACTCAATTTTCTACAAATACACTCAGAGGAAAGGCAAGATAGACATACATTCAGACTGTAAACAATACCATTAGATTTTGAATTCTTTGTTAACTGCTGAAGATGGGGACAAAACGCATATGTGAACATCCTGGGTGCTGTGATATTTGTTTTTGATTCAGTTCAACTCATCTGAACATTTAAGGAGTTTATACAGTCACACATGTTCATTCATATACTGTTAATATTTTTTGTGTTATTTTTTTAAAACAGGCGTCTGGACTACTTTGTTCTGTCAGAGAGATTGAAGGAGAACTTATGTGACAGCATCATTCGCAGCAAGGTCATGGGCAGCGACCATTGTCCAATAGTTTTGGAGCTTGCAATATAAAAGAAAACTAGGTTTCTTTAAAGCTTTATAAAGTCATATATGTTATTACTTATTGCCTTACAATAAGAATAGACGGGTGCATAATCATATACAATTTTCCTCTTAGGTTTGTCCTTTTCTGGAATATTTAAAAAGCATTAGTTTATGTTAAAGACATACCTTGCTCTATTGTAGTAGTATTTTTTCCATATTTTATCTTGTATTGGTGCTTAGCTTTTGGGGCTGTGCTTTCATTTATGATTTGTTTAGAAAACTTATTAAATGTTTGTTTTCACTCTCTGAGAAATCTGCTGCTTTCAAACAGTTACAGTTTTGAAACAAATGATTTCGGGCTGCTGCAGCTTAAATGTTCTTGTCACTTTTACACAGGCACATATATGAAAATATGTAAATTGCTGTTTACAAAGAATTAAAAAAATAAATAAATAAACCGATAGTAACGGCAAACATTACAAACTCAGAACAACTTATAGGAAACTAGAATATAAGAATGTATAATAAGAATAATATGGTTCCAGTTTTGACCCGACAGATCTGGAAACTGCAGAAGCCACGTTACCTAGACCAGAAGGTTGTGAGTTGAAAATCCAGACTGAATGATTTCTTTCATTATTGATCTTAGTTCCTAGTCAGCTCATCTTAAAATGATTACCTGGAATAAGTCCTAGGAAATAACAGTGGCAGGTGCGACTTTGATGACATCATCTTTTAGTCTTTAGAAATATAAATCTAGCATCGTATGCCCAAAACACTACTAGCGTAAGGGGGCTTTACTTTAATGTTGTTCACTAGTGGACTTGGGAACATTTGTCTTCTTCTTTGTGGTTAAAGAGGTAAAGACACTCCCCAAACAATCTGTGAAGCTGAACTAGAGAGTGAGAACGCAACGTTATGAATTCAGAGCACATTTTTACCGTTTGGATCTCTGTCATATGCAATTGTTAAACACTAGATTATACCAGTTTGGGTGGGGTGGGGGTTAATCTGGGTTCCCAGAGCTACCATAGAAGGCAAGCTATGGGTCATAATTTTAAAAAAAAAAAGGTTTAAATGATCAGCTATCAATGCCATCTGATCAGAGTGTAGCCAAAAAGCACAAACTTCATAGCTCCAGCTCTTCCTGGGAATATCGGAAAATCTTTTGAAAAATCAAAATTGCTAATTGAAACGTGCATAGAACAAACCCACAGCCTTCAGAGCTTAACCTTCATACCTTAGCCATGGAGACACCCTCTTTGAGGCTTATTTCAGAATAGTGCATAACAACTGAACACAGAACAAGATGAGATATTGTATATCAACAAAACATTCTGTTGCAATTTGTTTACAATTTTTTTTTTTTAAATATCTGTGTTGATGCATGGTAGATTAAATTATTTTTTTTATATATATATATATTTAATTTAGCATATTATAACATACGACACCTTTCCATACCATGGCAAGAGGTTGTCAGTAACTTTCTCTCATTGTCCACTTGTCATGCTCTGCATTCGTTTGTTCATTTATTGTATGTTTCAGTCATTCCCAATTATTATGGGTGGGGGGTCGTATTTCCTACATGCAATAGAAAGATCAGAGGTATAGCCTTTTGGCAGCCTAGTGGAAACCACACTGTTAAGATCATTTGAAGACATGCATTGCGCCACAACCTTCATAGAGGCTTGTGGCCATCTCATCTGACAACCACCACAACCTTCACAGAGGCCTGTGACCATCTTATCTGACAACCACAACAACCTTCACAGAGGCCTGTGACCATCTTATCTGACAACCACCACAACCTTCACAGAGGCCTGTGACTATCTCATCTGACAACCACAACAACCTTCATAGAGGCCTGTGACCATCTTATCTGACAACCACCACAACCTTCACAGAGGCCTGTGACCATCTCATCTGACAACCACAACAACCTTCACAGAGGCCTGTGACCATCTTATCTGACAACCACCACAACCTTCATAGAGGCCTGTGACTATCTCATCTGACAACCACAACAACCTTCATAGAGGCCTGTGACCATCTTATCTGACAACCACCACAACCTTCACAGAGGCCTGTGACCATCTCATCTGACAACCACAACAACCTTCACAGAGGCCTGTGACCATCTTATCTGACAACCACAACAACCTTCATAGAGGCCTGTGACCATCTCATCTGACAACCACCACAAACTTCACAGAGGACTGTGACCATCTCATTTGACAACCACCACAAACTTCATAGAGGCCTGTGGTAATCTCATCTGACAACCACCACAACCTTCACAGAGGCCTGTGGCCATCTCATCTGACAACCACCACAACCTTCACAGAGGCCTGTGGCCATCTCATCTGACAACCAGCACAACCTTCACAGAGGCCGGTGACCACCTTATCTGACAACCTCCACAACCTTCATAGAGGCCGGTGACCATCTTATCTGACAACCACTACCACAACCTTCATAGAGGCCGGTGACCATCTCATCTGACAACCACCACCACAACCTTCATAGAGGCCTGTGGCCATCTCATCTGACAACCACATCAACATTCATAGAGGCCTGTGACCATCTCATCTGACAACCACAACAACCTTCATAGAGGCCTGTGACCATCTCATCTGACAACCACCACAACCTTCATAGAGGACTGTGACCATTTCATCTGACAACCACCACAACCTTCATAGAGGACTGTGACCATCTCATCTGACAACCACCACAACCTTCATAGAGGACTGTGACCATCTTATCTGACAACCACCACAACCTTCATAGAGGCCTATGACCATCTCATCTGACAACCACCACAACCTTCATAGAGGCCTGTGACCATCTCATCTGACAACCACCACAACCTTCATAGAGGACTGTGACCATCTCATCTGACAACCACAACAACCTTCATAGAGGCCTATGACCATCTCATCTGACAACCACCACAACCTTCATAGAGGACTTATCTTATCTGACAACCACCACAACCTTCATAGAGGACTGTGACTATCTTATCTGACAACCACCACAACCTTCATAGAGGCCTGTGACCATCTCATCTGACAACCACCACAACCTTCATAGAGGCCTGTGACCATCTCATCTGACAACCACCACAACCTTCATAGAGGCCTGTGACCTTCTCATCTGACAACCACCACAACCTTCATAGAGGCCTGTGACCATCTCATCTGACAACCACCACAACCTTCATAGAGGCCTGTGACCTTCTCATCTGACAACCACCACAACCTTCATTGAGTCATGTGACCATCTTATCTGACAACCACTTGGTGGGGAAGGTTTCAAAAAAAATAAAAATAATAAACGAGTTAGATAATATAGCCAAGAATGATAACTGCCATTTTCTGATGAGACAATCCTATATTGGTTTTCAGTTTAGTGCTTGATTATATTCATTACAACAATTTTTAGAATTTTAGTTAATCTAGAAATGTGTATGTTTTTTTATGTGTTTACATTTATAACATGAATCTCTATATTCTTTATTTTTGTCTCATGTAAAGCCATTTAAGTTTAATCATTTGTCGTTTGTGTGTGTGTGACAATTTTTCATATTTAAAGAACAATTTACTCCTTTTATCCTAGTTTGTTGTTGCATGGTTTGCATCAGTTAATTTTTTTACAAGATGATTTGTTTAGCTTTGGACATACCAGTAGTTAAATGAGTGATTTTTTTCTTTTTTCTCAAATGACCTTGGGCATACCACTAGTTCCGTGACCGACATGTACAGTGGTGGGTTTTTTTCTGACTTATGACGTACCATTAATTCTATGACTGACATGTTTTTCTGACTAAGGACATCCCACTAATTCTGTAACCGACATGTAGAATAGTGATATTTTTTTCTGACTTAGGACATATCATTAGTTTTATAACTGATATGTTTTTTTCTGATAGGGCATACCACTAGTTCTGTGACTTACATGTTTTTTTCTGATAAGGCATACCACTAGTTCTGTGACTTACATGTTTTTTTCTGATAGGGCATACCACTAGTTCTGTGACTTACATGTTTTTTTCTGATAGGGCATACCACTAGTTCTGTGACTTACATGTTTTTTTCTGATAGGGCATACCACTAGTTCTGTGACTTACATGTTTTTTTCTGATAGGGCATACCACTAGTTCTGTGACTTACATGTTTTTTTCTGATAGGGCATACCACTAGTTCTGTGACCGACATGTTTTTTTCTGACAGGGCATACCACTAGTTCTATGACCGACATGTAGAATAGTAATTTTTTTTTCTGACTTAGGACATACCAGTAGTTCTGTCAGTAAAGACAGAAGCTGTGGTGGCATAGCATTAATGGTTTAATGCTTGCCTTTTGCCAAAATGCCTAGGGCTCACATCTGCATTGAGTCTAATATTTGTATTCAAAATTGACCTTACTCCCAACCGAAAAATGGGCACCATTAAAGTCCTGTGAGTTAAACGCTGTCGATGTAATGTTGGCTAGGTCACCCATTGAGTGCTAGTTGACCTGCATAAATATAGGTCAAGCCCTGTGTGCCAAAAGTTTGAAAAGGGTCCTTTGCCAAATTTTTTTTTTACTGTCACTGAGATGTACAGTGGTGATATTCTGATAATTATTTTTTGATCCAGAATCTAAGTTTTGCCTGCACATCCACTTTACAATTCTTTTTTTTTTTTTTTTCCACTTTATAAATTTTTTTTGTGGGGGGGGGGGGGGGGGGATGCATGCAGACTGTTGGTACCTTGCCTGTCAGGCAGATGCAGTCTTCTTTGAAGGAAACACACCTAATTATTCGCTTACTACCACATGCTTGTGTGGGGGGGGGGGGGGGGGGGGGGGGGGGGGGCAGTGGGTCTGTTCTTATTTCCCTCAAAAATGGGGCCCAACAGACAGTGAATATTTTTTTTTTCACTTGCAACGATTGATTCTTATTGCTTTCTGTAATGACAGTTGGAGCCTCCATTGCAAGTGGTCAGACCTTTTCCTTACTCTGTCAGGGTTGTTTTGTGGAT